TGGGGAAGGGGGAAACCCCAAAATTTGGATCTGGGAACCGGGGGAGCCCCAAAATTCAGATTTTTGGGTGCGGGAACCCCAAAATTTGGAGCTGGGAAATCCCAAAATGTGGATTTGGGAAGGAAAAATCCCCAAAATTTGGAGCCGGGGGGGACCCAAAAATGTGGATTTAGGGAGAGAGGAAACCCCAAAATTGGAGCTGGGAATGAGGGGACCCCAAAATTTGGATTTGGGAAGGAAAACTCCGAAATTTTGATCTGGGAACTGGAGAACCCCAAAATTTGGAGTTTGAGGAGCCCCAAAATGTGGATTTTTGGAGGGGAAACCCCAGAATTTGAAGGGAGGGGACCCAAAAATGTGGATTTAGGGAGAGAGAAAACCCCAAATTTGGATTTTGGGAAGCCCCAAAATGTGGAATGAGGGGACCCCAAAATCTGGAATTTCGGATTTGGGGAAACCCCAAAATTTGGAGTTTGAGGAGCCCCAAAAATGTGGATTTTCGGAGGGGAAACCCCAAAATTTGAAGAGAGGGAGGAACAAAAAAACGGGGATTTTGGGGAAGGGACCCCAAAATTTGGATTTTGGGAGAAGAGACCCCAAACCGTGCGTGTGGGAACCCCAAAATGTGGATTTGGGGATGGGATTTTTGAGGAAAATCTCGGATTTTTCCGCAGGCTCCGGAGCGATGCCGCCCCTCCAGGTAAGGTTGGGTCCCTTTGGGAATTTTCTGGGAATTTTTGGGAATTTTAATCCATTTTTGGGTAAAAAAAACCCAAAAACAAAAACAAAACCCAAACAAACAAACAAACAAAAAACCCCAAAAAACCAAAAAAAACCCAAAAAAACCCAAAAAAAAAAAGAGGATTTTTTTTTTCAGAAACCACAATTTAAAGAAAAAAAAATTGAAAAATTTAATTTAAAATTTTTAAAAATTAAAAAAAAAAAAAAAGAAAATCCAAAATAACGAAGTAAGGGGCCATTCCCAGATTTGGTTTGTTTTTTTTTTTCCTGGAAAAATTGGGAACTGGGACAATCCAGGGAGATTTCAGCCCAAAAATTCGGCGGGAAAAAAAGGGAAAAATCCCCAAATTTGACACCCCCGGGTCCCCCCTCCCCCCTCCCCAGTTCTTGGCCCTCCTGGTGCTCGGCGCGGGAATTTTGGGAATTTCGGGAATTTCGGGAATTCCGGCGGTGCCAGCCCCGGGAAGGGGCCCCGAGGAGCTCCCCGGTGAGTCCCGGCACGGAGCCGATCCCAGTA